CCCATGGCAATATGGTAGAGTTGGTACTTAGTGCTCGCCATGGTTTCTGGCATGCACTCCCCTCAGCATGGTGGCGTGGGTATACCGTTCCCCATAGCGACTCCTAAAGGACGCAGTTTGAAGTTCCCATGAAAGGGAACGTCTCAGGTTATATATGTAACCATGATTCCCTGAGTAGGGAACGAGACAGTGCATCCTCTAGGTTTCTTGCCATGCTGCGGACACAAGCTTCAGACAAAGAAGTGGATGATGTGTTCTCCAGGCGCCTATTTATACTATAGTCGCACCGGTAGTGACATCATGGCTGTCGCCGGCCAACGTGTTGTTGGTGTTTTTTCAGTGTATGCTTCAGACACGGGTCATGACAAGGCGTTCCCCATAGCGACCCCTAGAGGACGCAGTGTCTCGTTCCCTACTCAGGGAACCATGGTTACATACGTAACCTGAGACGTTATTCTGCATCACTTAATGCACAGCTTTATTTAGACATTGATTTGTCATGGTTTTGTTCCGTCCATTGCCACAGTTATCACTGTCAATCATAGCAAAGACTTTTAGCAGATTCACTCCTGCAATTACACTGTGAATGGATTACATAGAGAAACTGAACAAAGGACGCTCCCTTTATAGCATAACTGACCGAGATCTCTCACGTGAAAACTCCTGTTATAATCAATGACTAACTACACACTGAACAATCAATCTCTTATTTATATGGTGCCTGTGCTTTTTTGTTATAACGGGAGCATTTGTGAGCGTGTAGAATTCAGTAATCTTGTGAAACTTTACGAATCAGACAAATTACCTATTTCTGGATTAAAAACAGCAAATTTTGCAAAAAACTTTAACGATACCCCTCACATATACTGACAGATTTTCAAATCAATTTGATACTGATTCACAATCTCTGGATTCAATTCAGTATTAATTAATTTGAAAATATACAAAACAGTACATGTAAATTTTTCTTAAGAAAAAAGTGTTGTGATGACATTAGTTATTGAGAGACTAAACTGACCTGCTCGATGCGGCCTTTCCGTAGCTCCAACACGGCCAAGTTATTGTAAGCTTCACCGTGGTTATTGTGAAAAGCCAAGGCCAGTTTAAAGCACTGGTACGCCAGAGTCAAGTCACCAATGCCCTGCGAAATAGAGAGAGAGGAGAAAAGCCTGAAATGACCATAATTTATTCATTAATAACTTGGGTCATTACAGACTGACATTAAAATTTTTTCAAGCACACTCTGCATGTGGAATCAGCATTTTCCATCAATTGTTTCTGTTTTGGGAACAATAGCAACCTTCAATAATATAATAAACACTTTTTTCCCTCTAAATCAATATGCAAATTTTTTTTTTCAAAACCACCTGATGTACACAAATCTCAGCAAATCTACAATAAAAGAGAAATTTAAAAAAAAATTATAATTATAAAAATATCAGTCCTTACAATTTTTCCATTAAAAGAACATGTTTTGCCACTTGTTTGCCAGCAGAGGTTATATGAGAAGCACACCTGACTTTCCATATTCCGTTAAATGTTTGGTTTGCAAAAAGACATTCTTTTGAGTGGGTTATTGAGTGATATCAGTATGAATCTACCTCCTGTTTGGTCTGATTTAGTCTGACTGACTAAGTCTCTAAATCAGTTGTCAGATCACTGACGTGAGAGTTTGTCACAGCAGTGAGGGACAGTGAGCGGCATGCTCTCTCTCATCTGCAGACTTACACAGGTCACATTGGGTTCTGAGTGTCTGCTCACCACTGCAACATGCCCCAGATTATACCAGATATCAGCCTGTTCCTCATCACTGGACACCAGGGCTAAAGCTCTCTCAAAGGACGACAGGGTCATATCATACTGCTGGGCGTAGACACAGCACAGGCCCAGATTGTTATACAGCTGACAGTTGAAGACCCCCATCTGCAGCAAGCGCCTAAAAAACAGGAGACAGAGGCTGAATTTACACAAGATACGATGCAGAGATCCATTGTTGACCGTCACTAAAGACTCAAATGACTGTATTAGGGCTTCTAATAATGATTATTTTTTCTATTGATTATATTTTTGATTGGTCGATTAATCCAACAATTAACATTATTAGCACAGTAATTGGACTGAAAAGTTCTTTCCCATTAACAATCATGTAGACACCGTGACGAGCGTCCCGAGGCTTCATCAGCGTCGCCCTGGAAACAAACAAGGAACACCTTGCCGTCCTCATCACAGGCTGATCAGTCACAGCTGCAGCTCATCAGGCGGCGGCCACATAAGCCACGCAAGCCCTGCCATCTGGGAGACTTCTCCATGAGACTGAGCACTAACTTGCCCTCTCATTTCTCCCACAGACAACAGCGTGTGACCGACCAGCCCCACAGGAGCACTGCACGGGCCCTCTGCACTGGGAAGACGGAAGAGAGCACTCACGGCACCGGACCACCTACCTGGACCTTTCTCCCTACCACCCACCTCACTAATAAATCCACCCTCCGGGGTATCGATTAAGATTTCCTTGTCGTGTGATTCTTCAGCCCGTTACACTGGTGGAGAATGCAGGCAAATCAGTGAAGAATCACCGACAAGCGATTTTCTTCACCTCACCTTTTCCCTTGTTTTTGTCTCCGGGTTCGGTCACAGGCGAGCACTCCTCCCCCAACATGGATGATATCCTCCAGCGGCTCACTGAGGTTAGCATCCGCCAGCAACAAATCGTTGAGCACCTCGCCACCCGTCAAGGGGAGACAGAGAAGGAGCTCGTGGCCCTGTGTGCCGCCGCCACTCAACGCGTTCCGTTGCCGGACCCCCGGGTACAAGCTGCGAAGCTGCTACCCAAGCTGACTCCTCATGATGACGTAGAAGCCTTCTTACAAATGTTCGAAGCGACGGCCACCATGGAAGGATGGCATAGGGATGACTGGGCATGGGTGCTGGCTCCCCTGCTGACGGGCGAAGCGCAGCGTGCATATTTCGCGCTTCCCGCCGCCTCCGCCGATTAATATAAGGAGGTCAAGAAGGAAATCCTAGCCCGCCTGGGGTTATCCCCAATCTGTGCTGCCCAGCACTTCCACGAGTGGGAGTATAAGCCCCATCTGCCGGCCCGTGCCCAGGCCGCCGAACTCACACGACTCGCGCAGCACTGGCTTCTGGAGGGGGCTCCATCGGCTGGACAGGTGGCGGAGCGCGTGGTGATTGACCGTCTCCTCCGAGCCCTTCCCCGATCCCACCGACAGGCAGTGGGGATGAGGAACCCAACCACCACCTCCGAGCTGGTGGAGGCTGTCGAGCTGGCGGATGCGACCCAACACCGGGATGCTGGGGAGTGAGCGCCGCCGTTTCCCCAGAGGGTGGTCCAGGAGCGGCGCGCGCTGGAGGGCACCCCGCGACTAGTAAGTAGGCCGGCGGCTCCCTCTGCGCGGGATGAGCCCATGTCAACGGAAGTCCCCGCACATCCCGCACGGACCTGGCTGGCAGGCTGCATTGTGCACCGCGACCTGCCGGTTGGAGCTCCAGAGGTGGAAGTGAAAGTGAATGGAAAGCCGTTCCGGGCCATCCTGGACTCAGGCAGTGCGGTCACTTTGGTCCAGTCGCGGATTCTCGCCCCCCGAACGGAGGATAAAGCCTTCCTCCCCATAACCTGTGTCCATGGGGATACACGACAAGTTCCTGCTCGCAGGGTGACCATTTCGGCCGCTCCTGGCGCCTGGCTGGTGGAAGTCTGGGTCATGAAGGATCTTCCCGTCCTCGTGCTGATCGGGAGAGACTGGCCAGGGTTTGACCGCCTGCTGGCCACGGCTACGCAGCCTGCGAGCCCAAGAGGGGGCCACCGAAGACGGAGGCCCATGGAAGGACCTCGTCAGCGCCCCGTTCTTCTGGCCTCGGACAGCGGGAGAGAAGGGGAGG